GTCTTTCTCTTTCTTTCAGAACCCCATCCTACACTTTTGAAGAGTGCCGGTCAATTATTTTGGCCTTCAGTTGGGTTTATCTGATATTTTCCCATAATGAAATCAAGTTCATGTAGTTTTGACACAGATACCATCGATATGATGTTGTGCCCTTCTCTGTGCATCATATCAGAAGGCACATGGTGTCAGGATGTCTTAATACTAATGATATTAACTCGGATCATATGTCTAAGGTGGTGTCCGTGGAGTTCCCCACTGTATTTTTCCATTTGTAATTAAGTATCTTGTGGGGAGATACTTTGAGAGGATGCAAATATTCTGCTTCTCATTATCCTTTTGGTCTCTAATTTTAGCATCCAGTGATGATTCTTGTCTATAAAAAGTATTATTGTAACATCTGCCTCATAATGATTTTTCTATTTCCGTCATTTCTTCTATATTTGTTAAATGGAATTCTATAAGGAGTTGTCCCTTTGCCCACATAGATTTATTTATTCAATTATTTCTTTAAATCAGTATGGACTCCTGGATATATTTATTTTATTCTCGTGATTATAATTCATTACTATCTGTCTTCTTGCTCAAATTGTCCTAGAGTTAGCCATTGGGAGTTCCTTCAACTTGGTCCCTATGTCCTTGCAACACAACACACCCTCCACCATTTTTTGAGCACATCTTTATACTCTATTTGCATATTTGAACACTGATGGGGGAAATTACATATATTCCAAAATGTTCTTTTTTTTAGATTGCTTTGGGTGTTTTGGGTGGGCTGGCTGTTTTATCATCTCTTCTGAAGACAGCAGGGTGGAAGAGACGCATTGGGAGTCCCATGATTGATTTACAGGTATGATGTCAGGAGTTTTTTTTCATCTTTTCACTACTTTGTATCCTTTTAAGATACAGCTGGAGAACAACTAAAAATTGCCTTAAGTTTCTCTGGGGTGTATAACTAGGAGAGGTATATGCACACCTCATTCCCCTCCCACGTTGCTGTATGCCAGTCTACACTCCCACCAGCAGCACTGTTCTAGTTTCCACACATCCTCACCAACGCCTGATATTTTTCCAGCCTTCCCATTTTTTTCCAGTCTGGCAGTATAAGTAGTACATCACTGTTGGTTTTGTTTTCATTTCTCTGCTTTTCATATACTTTATTAATCATTTGGGTTTCCCCTTCTGTAAACTGCCTGTTTATATCCCTTGCAAATTTTTCTATTAGGTTTCCAGTTTCTCTGGTTTATTTAAAGCAGTTTTTTTGTGTTTTCTAAATATGAATCCCTTTTTGGTTTTTGATGCTAAAATATCTCCTCCAAATATGACCCATCTGTTATTTTTATCTATGTGTTACTTTGCTTAACAGAGACTCTAAATTTTGATATTGTCACATCTGATTAGTTTTTCATATGCTTCTAGAATATTTTTTAGGAAAACATTCCCAATCTCAAGATCACAAAGATATCCTCCCAGGTTTTATTCTATTAACTTTATAGTTTTACTTCTCATATAATCTTTTGTAAATTTATCTTTGTTTTTATTTTTATCTAACATTTATTGAATATATGCTAGGCATTTTTTTAAGTTTTATTTACATAACTTATTTAATCCTCACAATAGCTCTGTGAAATCAGATACAATTATTATCATTCCCATTTTATGCAGAATGAAATTGTGGCAGAAGTAAAATAAACTTCCTACTCATTTAATTTTTTAAATATATTTTTTAAAAGATGTATTTATTTATTTGAGAGAGAACATGCACTGGGAGGAGCAGAGGCAGAGAATCTCCAAGCAGACTCCCTCTGAGTGTGGAGCCTAATGTGGGGCTCAGTCTCATGACATGAGATCATGACTTGAGCCAAAACCAAGAGTTGGACGCTTAACTGACTGAGCCACCTAGGTGCCTCTCTACTCATTTAATTTTTACAATTCAGTAATGGTGGTATTTATTTCTATTTTGCTGATGAAGAACATGAGAAAGGCAACATAGTAACTTGTTTGTACCAGAATATCTTCCTGACACCAAAGCCAGTGTGCCAAGGAATCAGAGGAGGGGGCTTGGTTTACTATTCGAAATAGAAAGAAAGGCTTTCCAGAGAAGTGAACTTTAGGCTGGGTTGGGTTATCTGTACATTCCACAAAATAGTCACTGAGGACCTACTTTCTGATTGCCAAGAACACTACCAGCTGCTGGCGGATGTGATAGTGAGCAAAGACAGATCTGGTCTCTATTCTCAGAGCTCATGAGATTTTGCCATAGAGAAGAAGAAAAGAATATTTGATGAAACAATAAACAATGCCCATTTCATTCCACAAAATAATTGAAATGCAAGTTAATCAGAGAGTAAGTGGTTGGAACTGGCAGGTGAGGCTAAAAAGTCCATTTTGATCTAGGTTGTGAAGGACCCTGTGGGTCTGGAATTTACACTCCAGTGAAGAGTCACTACATTTTTAGGAAACGGAGTGACACAATCCAATTTACATTTTAGAAAACTAACTCTGGTGGTAGTGTGAAGGACTGATTGGGGTGGAGGGCTCCAAAGTAGGAAAGAATTAGGAAGCAATGTAACTTTCTTAGACGGTGAAAGGTGAAAAGTGTTGGGTGAGACAGGTGCTTTTGGGAATAGACTGAAAGGTACAGATCCAAAGGAATCCAGGAGATGGCCACAGTTGGGCTTTATAACTGGGTGATCCATGGATACATGAAATAAGGCTTCAAGCTTGAGAAACTGGGTAGAGACTATGTTACTGAAAGTGATAGTGTAAATAGATTGAGTCTATAACAACTATAATTCTCTTTTTAAATTGCAGACAGTTATGAAATTCTTGGTGTACTACGCTGGTGATCTGGCCAATGTTTTCTTTATCATCACTGTGGGAACAGGTCTTTATTGGCTTATTTTCTTCAAAGTAAGTGAATTCCCGAATTTAACCTAAATGTTAATACCTGAATAACTGGTAAGCTGTCTTTATAAAGGAACTGTTTTTATTTGGGGGTATTTCTGACCAAGAGTATTGAGGCAAGTACTAAACCACCATTTCTTGAATGTGCTGTTTATTGAGTATCACCACTTTCCTTTTCTATGCATCTTTGGTTTATAAATTGTGCTTATTAAAAACCTTGTGTGGTCATATTTAACAGTGTAATTTTTATCATAGGCACAGAAATCTATCTCTGTTTTGCTACCAGTGCCAGCTCAGGAAGAACGTCTTGTTACTTATGTGGGATGTGCTTTTGCTCTGAAGGTAAGTTTCAAAGGACAGATTCCTGAATTTAAAAGACCTGCTCTTAAACTCGTAAGTCATTAAAATTAAAATGTTTTCAAAATCTTTGGTGTAAAATTTAGCTTTATTTTATTTTTATTTTTATTTTTTAAAGGCTTTATTTATTGATTTGTCAGAGTGAGAGAGTGGTACAAGCAGGGGAGTGGCAGGCAGAGGGAGAAGCAGCTTCTGGCTGAGCAGGAAGCCTGTCGCGGGGCTCGATCCCAGGACCCCGGGGTCATGACCTGAGCCGAAGGCAGACGCTTAACGACTGAGCCACCCAGGCGCCCCAAATTTAGTTTGATTTTAAAAGGAAGCATGAATTATTTTATTTTACCAAGGAAATATAATAGGTAGTTCATTCTGAAAATCTAGCTTAAATAATTTTCCTAAAAAGCCATAATAAGTATTTTTTGGATTAATACAAGTTATAGCTAATTTGGTAAAGTGATAATTCATCATATGACTTTCTTTTTTAAAGTCTGAAGATGCATTCACAATGGGATAAAATGTCTTTAGGCATGAATTTTACCTCTTTAATGGGCAATAAAGGGTACCACCCTGGATAACATGCTGAATTTGTCTTAGAATTTGTTTTCTCTGTCTCCATATTCCTTTCCTCCTCTTCTCATGGCATCCCCTTTCCCTATTTCATTTTTCTGTCAATGTATGTGAAGCTTCTTAACATGCCCCTGGTAGATCTCATCCCATGGTCCTGTGATTATTCAGTGTCTGCTTTTCCCACTGATCTGTGAGCTCCTTGAAGAGAGAAATCATCCTATCCTTAACACTTTTATCCTTTGATGAATAATGCATCTACTAGGAAGAACACCCTAGATTAAACATATTACTTCTGTTAAATGAAAAAGATGTGTTTCAACAACACATTTTAAACATTAAGTATCTCAACACCAGGAATAGAAAAAAAGATAGTGAAGGCTTCTTAAAGCCTTTTTTTTTTTTAAAGATTTTATTTATTTATTTGAGAGAGAGAGAGAGAGAATGAGAGAGAGAACACGAGAGGGGGGAGGGTCAGAGGGAGAAGCAGACTCCCTGGTGAGCAGGGAGCCCGATGTGGGGCTCGATCCTGGGACTCCAGGATCATGACCTGAGCCGAAGGCAGTCGCTTAACCAACTGAGCCACCCAGGTGCCTCGGCTTCTTAAAGCTTTAATTAAGACAGCCAATTATAGTTGAAAAATACCTTTACTTATAAAGAAATCAGATGGTCTAGAAAATAAAAGTATGCTTTTGGAAACCTTGGGAAAGAGAGTCAATTAGGCATGGCCCCTGTATGAGGAAGAGGTAGGATGTTTACTTTTTTCATATCCCTATTTTAAAGAAAGAGAAGGGAAGGCAAATTAATGTGTATGAAAATTTTGTGAATTTGTTGATTCCGTGTTATTTGATGAGCTTCTACTGATCCCCTGATGATATGATAACTTTGTCATTTGTGAAAATTGTATATTCTTGTGATTACAGGATATTTGTTTCTTAAAAAAAATCATTGTATTCATAATCAGGCTTAATGTGGATACTTTTCAAGTGTTCTGTCCTTTTCAGGCTCTGCAATTTTTGCATAAGCTTATATCCCAGATTACCATAGATATATTCTTTATTGATTGGGAGCGACCTAAAGGAAAGGTTCTTAAAGCTGTTGAAGGTAACTGAAATAACCATTGTACCAAAATTCTTTTGCTGCTTTTTCCAGAACAAAGATGAAACTCTTTTACTTACTTTATCTCTCTGACCAGGTGAGGGTGGTGTTCGGAGTGCCACGGTTCCTGTGAGCATATGGAGAACATATTTTGTAGCAAATGAATGGAATGAAATTCAGACTGTGAGAAAAATTAATCCACTCTTTCAAATACTTACTGTCCTCTTTTTTTTGGAGGTATAAACTTTTTTAATTGTGTGCAACTTCTGTGTACCTCGTAAATATTAATTTCGTATAACTCCAGCTACATTTTCATGGAAGAGTTTTCTAAAGTTTTCTGAAGAGTTTTCTGAAGTTATCAAGCCGATACAAAGAGTGTCTTTTAAAAATTGTGTTAAAATACACCTAATATGAAATTTACCATCTTAATCATTTTTAAGTATGCAGTTCAATCTTGTTGGGTACATTCACATTGTTGTCCACCAACCCCTAGAATTCTTTTCATCTTGCACAACCGAAACAACAGCTTCCCATCCCCACTCTCAGCCCCTGGCAATTACCGTTCTACTCTGTCTCTTTCAGTTTGACTACTGTAGCTAAGGAATGGCTTTTAAACCCTACTGGTTTGTATCACAATTCCCTGGGCAACTCTTGTAAACTACTATGCCTGGCCTCACCACTAGAGATTATGTTTGGTTCAGTAGCTCTGAGGTGAGCCTAGTTATCTATATTTTGAAAAAACTTCCTCCCTCTCTAATTTGCATTCTGATTAGAATTAGAATTCTACAACAATTCAACAGATCATCACTGAATGCTTACTCTGGACTGTATTCAGTGCCAAGAGCTGGAGCTATAGCTGAACTATGCGCAGAGAGTGGCTACGTGCTTTTCTGATACCTTTACAGGTATCCCACAGATCTGGCTGGTATTATTAAAGGAAGTGTTATGTACTGAATGAGACTGAACTATGAAAACTATGAAAACCGTTTATGTGGGTAATAACTTTTCTTAGGAATTAGCTGCTTATATAAAGTTAGATGTGAATTATTAACTCTTAGGTCTGTCTGCCTTCCATTTTCCTTTTTTTTTTCCTTTCTCCCTCCTTTCCCTTGCTTTCCTTTTTTAAAGCCAAAAGAAGAATATGTGTATATCCAAGGCATATGAATGATTTTTCAAAAATTCACTTACAGTATTGTTTGTTAAGAATGTTTTATAGAGCTTTAAAAGGTGTTATATGAAAAAGGATTTTTTTAGTTAAGCACATTTGGGAAACATTGGATTCAATAAAGTCACGTCAATTTCTTCACTGTAAAAATTCCCAGAGCCTTTATTCTAAGAGAGTGGAAGGCATGACCACACTTATTTAATCATGGCTTCCTTTTATCAAAGAAGGTATCTTCCTTAAAAGACATTTTGGAAAATACTGTTTAAGAGTATAAAAAAGTATTTTGCATAATGCCTGGCATATGTTAAAAGCGCATGAAATGCTGGTTGTTCGTTGGTAGTTTACTGAAGAAAGTTTTATTCTTTTGACAAATTTTTGACTTTTGTCCGTGTATATAATAATAAGGTTATATTTGGCCTTTAGTCATATTGAAGAGAATTCCAAATGAACTATTTTGTTTTGTAATTAAAAATACTGGATAATTATTTTTACCTAGATTTTCTACTGTTTGTATAAACTTTTATAAATATTTTAGTTTTTAAGGTAAGAAATAGGGAGGAGTGTCCCATTTTCAGAGTAGAACTATTTTCTTTATGTATGTCTGTTTAAATTTGCCTTTTTACTCCAGGTTGTGGGATTCAAGAACTTAGCATTAATGGACTCATCCTCTAGTCTTTCCAGAAGCCCAGCTAGCTACATAGCTCCTTATAGCCGCATTTTAAGATATGCGGTGTCTACTGCTCTTTGGCTGGTCATTGGAATTATACAGGTAACAACAGATTATACTTTTCAGCAACATTGCCTTTCTATATTTATAACTCTGTTTACATACTAATTATCTTCAAATATTGACCACATCCTGGTTTCTACAGCAGAAAGAAGGTAATGGCAAGAACAACAATAATAGCTAATTCTTACCTAGGGTTATAATCCAGGCACTGTGATAATTAATTGCATTGCACATATTAATTTAATCTTTATAGTAGCCCTTGGAGATGGGTTCTGTTATCATCCTCATTTTATAGATGAGGACACTAGGGCACAGAAATGCTAAATAGTTTGCTAAAGTCATGCACTTAGAGATTGGCAGAACTGGAATTTGAGCCCAGGCAATCTGATGTCAGATTCTTTTTTTTTTTTTTTAAGATTTTATTTATTTATTTGACACAGAGAGAGAGAGAGAGCACAAGCAGGGGGAGCGTCAGGCAGAGGGAGAAGCAGACTCCCTGCTGAGCAGGGAGCCTGATGCGGGACTCGATCCCAGGACCCTGGGATCATGACCTGAGCCGAATGCAGACACTTAACCGGACTGAGCCACCCAGGCACCCTGATGTTAGATTCTTATCAATGTGAGAATGTTCACATTTTTATCAATAGTGGGCTCAGAAGGGTCTTTCAGAGCCTGCAGCTTTCTAGTCAGAGGATGGACTCCATGGCTTAGTTTATATAAACTATAGGGAAGGCTAAGCTACCCTTAATATTTTCTTTTTTTTTTTTTTTGAAAAACAACTTATTGTCTCCATTTATTTATATATCATTAAATCTCACTCAGATTACAGGTACTCCTTGTGAAATTTTTGTTGAAATATTTTATGAGAAAGCTGAAACTAAAGTCTTCTTAGCTTCAGGTCCTATGATTCTAGCAGAGGATCATTTCCTTTTTATTTTTTTAAGATTTATTTATTTATTTATTTTAGAAAGAGAGAGTGTGTGTGTTTGCATGCATAGGGCAAGCAGGGGGAGGGGCAGAGGGAGAGGGAGAGAGAGAATCCCAAGCAGGCTCCACACCCAGCATGGAGCCTGACACAGGGCCCTGCATGGTGCTCAATCTTACAACCCTGAGATCATGACCTGAGCCAAAAATCAAAGTCAAGAGTAAGACCCTTAACTGACCGAGCCACTCAGGCACCCCACAGAGGATCTTTTCTATGCTCATTTCCCTATTTTCTTAGATGTTAAAAAAAAAAAAGAAAGAAAGAAAAGAAAAAAAGAATGAAAGGAAGAAAAGAAGCATCACCTAAAGCACTTAACTCTAATATTTGTACTTCTTTCTCTTGCTTCCAGACACTCCCATGAATGGAAAAAGGCTTTCTGTTTAATTAAAAATTCCTTTAACTTTTAAGTCAACAAATGAACATGGGATCTCTAGAAAGATCGGGTTAAACTACCTCTAACCTGGCAAACAAATATCTGCCAAATTAAACGTGGCCTATTTTTAAACATGGTTTGGGATTTAAATCCAAAAATTCCTACAGAATTGGTTCCAGGTGGCATTCTGTAACCTGAGAATAGACTTTTAAAATTTATGTTTATTTTAAATTGGTGAGACTTGTTTAAACTTGAAACTACAGGGTAGATCCAGTGAGGGATAGCTTAATAATCAGAAAAGAAAGCCAAACAAATTAGAATTTGAAATGAGATAGGATCAAAAGAGTATGGGGTTTGATGTTTATCATCAATATAATAGAAAATAATTCATTTTAAAGATAGACCAGTATACGTTTTTCTGAGTATATTGGATTCATCTGGATGTAGAGAATTTAAAGGAATGCATCTGAAGTTTTTCATATTTGGTTGAGTACAACAAAAAAACCCAAAATAGCAGTGGCTGAAGTTAAAATGACCGTTACCTCCCATGTGAAAGGAGAGTGGAGCTGTGCAGCGCAGGGTGGCTGCATGTTGCCGCCAGGACTCAGAAGCTCCGCCACTCAGGACGCCCATCTCTCAGGTCACCTTGTGGTCCATGATGGCTGGTGGAGTTGAAGGAGGGAGTCGGGGAGAACAGTTCAGAAGTGCTGTTCAGCATTTCCTTGGCCAGAACTCAGGCACATGCCACACCTCACCGCACTGGTGTCTTTCAGCCAGGCAGCCGTGTGCCCACTCCAAGGAGGGGTCTGTCCCTAAGGAGAAAGGGGAAAGGATTGTTGGGGCAGAAACTAGTCATCTCGGGCACCCCCATTGTACCTCATTCTTTGTTTCTCACCCTGCTATCATTCTGGTAGTATGTTGTGCATGCACGCGTGCGTGCGCGCGCTCTCTCTCTCGTATAACTAACTAACTAACTAACTAAATAAATAAATAAATAGATAAAATTTAAAAGAAGTCGTCTTGATTCTCATAGTTAGTCTTTATTTACTCCTTTTATTTCCCTAAACCCAGCTTCTTCAACTTTTAAGTGGTATCCTTTAGTTTTTAAACTTTGTAAGTTCCTTTAAAGGGATTTAAAACAAGACGTATACAGAATGTTAGGGAAGTGTGTTCAGTAATCAGTTGCTCTAGATTCATTTATTTATTCATTCACATATCTGAGTCCATTTTGTGTTCTAGGCACTGTGCTGGGCTCAGGGATATGCTTAACAAGAACAAACTACAGATTGTGGCAAGTGCTGTGAAGGGCATCAATAGGGAGATGAGATAGGGAGTAAATGGAGGAGAGGTGGGAGGGAGTTATGAATGGGGGACACCTTTCAACTGGATGGTTAGGAAATGTTATCTTTCTTTGAAATATATCTAAGTAGGTCTAAGATGTAAACTTTCCTCTTTTGATTTATAAAATAATTTCCCTTTCCAGTATTATAAAAGCTAAGAAAGCACTTAAAACCATTCCATTTGAATATTTAATATATTACCTGCAGTTGAAATAGAATATTTGATATACGCTTTTTATGTGCTACTCTTGTCAGGGAAGATTAATTTGAAAAGCAGCAAGTTTTCTAATGGCTTTGGAATTTAGGAGATGGGCAGGATTGCAGAACCAGACGTATGTCTGGCCGTCAATACATTGGTTTATGCTAAATTTTTTAAAGCCCCTCTCTTCCCCCACATTTCTCCTGTTGTGTTTTAATGATACAGAAAAGTTTTTGAAATTCAAAATAGGCTCCTTCAATAAATCTTAACACAATTCCAAAACCTTATTTCTTTGACAGAGGAATCAGAAATGATAAGTAGGATTTTATCCCATAGGAACCATTTAGAGGCCACTGTGTTCTTGGGTGGACTTTCTTTTTTCTTAAGATACTACATTGTGGCTATAAAAGAAAATTAAAATTTAAAAGCTAATAAGCATGAACTTGGTTTAATGTTTCAGATCATGTTCTTTGCTGTCTTTTATGAAAGATTTATAGAAGATAAAATTCGACAGTTTGTGGATTTATGCTGTATGAGCAATGTAAGTACTTTCTGACTTTATCTTGCAACTGTTATTTTTCCCTTTTTAAAGGTCATGAGTACATTAAGAGAGGCTTTGAAAGTGATTTGGTGTGATTGAATTTTTTAGTCCAATTTCCCACTGATTGTTAATTCCAGAGATAGTTATAATGAGCTACAAGTTAATGTTTACTGCCTTAGTTTCTTCTTCTCCATTTGCAATTTCTTAATTATGAATTCCTTATCCACCAAATAATTCACTCAGCAGAGTTCCTGAAAAATTTTCATATATCAATCCTGTTTCTTCCTTTCTTAGAAAATATCTTCAATCTCTTTTCTGTCTTTTTAAAAATAACACGATCCTTTTGTCCTATTTATATATTTTCCAAGAATTCAACCCTCTTTATGTTGAGAGAAAGGAAGCAATTTTAAGAAAAACTTAATTTTCATTGTTTTCTATATGAGTTGCTAATTGCTTCTTTTTTATCTTCTTGTAGATATCAGTGTTTCTCTTATCCCACAAATGCTTTGGATATTACATTCATGGTAGATCAGTGCATGGGCATGCAGATACAAATATGGAAGAAATGAATATGAACCTTAAAAGAGAAGCGGTATGAATGAATTTAACATCTTTTAGTTCTTAATTGAGAGATGGGTTCTCTTTTCTTAATTTAGGATTTGTAATAATATTTGTAAAAGTTCCTCATTGATTACTTTTGAAAGTTAGAATACCAACCCATTACCCTGAACGTTGACAAAGGGAAAGAATCAAATTTTATCCCACAGTTCCTATATGAACTGTATTTCAGAGTAACCAAATAATTCATGAGGGGAAGTTCTTTCTTACAAAAGAAAATAAAAGGAATTCTAACTTAGTAAATCACCATTTTATAGTGACTAATGGATTAGTGCATATAGGTACAATCATCAGTGGATGCCAAAATAATTAAGTGAAGGTTGACAGGGAGCTTTATAATGAGTTATCAGGTTGATATAATCTGAACACACTGGCTCAGTCTTACTACAAGTAAAAATTAGGAAAACCAACATTAATCACTTCCAGTTATGATGCAGTAGGAAGTACATAACATCACTTGTGAAATATTCTTGCCTGAGAAAATGGAACCTAGATGTAATCAAATCTCTAGATCTAACCACCAATTTATAGGAAGTAGAGGAGATAGAGGGATCAATGACATAATGCCATAGGAAGCAATTAGCCGTATCCAGAATGCAGGATGTCTCACAGGACAGATGACCCAGTGTCTCCAGCAAATCAAAGGCATGTAAAGTAGAGGAGGGGTGGGTGGTGGTGGTGGTGGTGGTGTCGGAAGAACTGTTAGATAGTAAGAGAGATTTAGAAACAAAACAATCAAGTACAATGTGTAGACTTTGGATCCTGAATCAACCAAAAATTTAAAAACAAAAATCCTTGGGGCGCCTGGGTGGCTCAGTTGGTTAAGCAACTGCCTTCGGCTCAGGTCATGATCCTGGAGTCCCGGGATCAAGGCCCACATCGGGCTCCCTGCTCGGCGGGGAGTCTGCTTCTCCCTCTGACCCTCTTCCCTCTTGTGCTCTCTATCTCTCATTCTATCTCTCTCAAATAAATAAATAAAATCTTTAAAAAAAAAAACAAAAACAAAAACAAAAATCCTTGGGAATAATCTGGGAGATTTAATTTAAGAACTAAATATTAAATTATATTAAGGAATGATTAATTTTGTTAGGTGTGAAAATGGCATGGTGGGTTTTTGTTTTGTTTTTTAAGACCTTATTAGTTAGAGATACATACAGACGTATTTACAGATTTGGGATTGGGTGATGGATGGTTTACTGTTCCCTGTACTGTGTACATTAGAAAACTTCCATAATACGGGCGCCTGGGTGGCTCATTCATTAAGCGTCTGCCTTCGGCTCAGGTCATGATCCCAGGATCCTGGGATCGAGCCCCGCATCGGGCTCCTTGTTCTGCAGGAAGCCTGCTTCTCCCTCTCCCACTCCCCCTGCTTGTGTTCCCTCTCTTGCTGTGTCTCTCTCTGTCAAATAAATAAATGAAATCTTAAAAAAAAAAAAAACTTCCATAATAAAATTTAAAAAGAAAAATAAAATACTTGAGAGGAAAAATCAAGAGGATTTATTGACTAAAGGACTACACCTGTGACTTGTAAGAATTTAATATATGATAATGGCATCTCAGTGAAAAACGATTTATTTAATACATGAACTGGTTGGTTAACTATTAGAAATTATACCCGGTTTGAAAAGTTAAATGTAAAAAAGGAATATTTGAGACTGGGAGATGACTTTTTAAGCATAAAGAATAGAAAGCATCATAAAGGGAATATTAATTGATTTTACTTTATTAATGGAGAACATTTATGTAGCCAACAATCATATAAGTAAAAGACCATGAATTTGACTAAAATTCCCATAACAAATATGACAAAGATACTGATAACAGTATTGAAAGCCATACAAATCATTAAGCCGACACTTAAAACCTCAATGGGAAAAAGACAAAATAATTATTAAGTATGTAGATAAGAAACAGGGGAGACTAATGAAGCTGTAAACAATGTATAGCTCATAATAAATACATGTAAAAAATAATTTTGCACTCTTCAAATTAGCCAAGTTTTTTTTTTTTTAAAAAGCTAATACTTAATAGTACCAAGGACATGGTGAAATGGGCACCCATAAAACTACTGGTCTCAGGATAAATTTTTACAAATCTTCTGGAAAGCATTTGGAAATATATATACCAAGAGCTTTTTAAGAGTTCACTAATTCTGTGAATTGAACTCAAGGAAATAATTAGCAATGTGAATAGTTAATTAGATATGGGATCTTCATAACAGGGGTTATTTATAAGGGCAAAAAGAGAATATTAAAGCAGTTGGTTTTCATACACAGTGAAATTCTTAGGTAGACATAAAAATCATGTTTTATAGAATAGTTAATGACATATAGAATTGCTAGGATATAATGTTAGGTGAAAAAGAAATCAGTGTGATCCCAGTTTTATGCCATCTGTATCTATATGCCTGGACAAAAGATTGGAAATAAAATACCTTAAAATACTTGTATCTCTGGGTGTTGAGATCATAGGTGATTTTTCTTTTCTTTTCTTTCTTTTTTGTACCTCTCCATATTTTATAAATTCTCTGCAATAGCATGTGCTTTTTTAATCAGGAAAAAAGAAAGCTTTTATTATTTTTTTAATAGAGAAATTCACTACATGTAGGCTTCCTTTCAGTCTGTAGAAAACCAAGTGTTATGTTTGCAGGTTAAATTTAAACAAAGAGATATTAAGCTCTGGAGTAGGCAAATAAAGCACAAGAAGGGAGGCGGGAGGACTTGAGCTGACCTTGAAGCATGGATGGGAAGTAGCTAGGGGGTGGGGTAATGCAAAATTTTACGTGTTTATGGTTGTCAGGATTCAGGTTGTATCAGGGAGACCTGAAATGGAGATCTGGTCCATGACATTAACTGTTTGGTCATGTATCACATTACCTTTTTTTGCATTTAATTAAGGAAATGTTCTAAAAGTTTTTAGAAAACAAAAAAGACTATAATTATAAAAGTAGTTAATCTAAGACTAGACTTTCTGGCATGCATTAAAGAGCAATAAAATTAATCATAAAGAAAGCTACGAATATCAATATACAATGAATTTAGAATGGATTTTTTTAAAGTCGGGTAAAGGAGATAATATAGAGAACTGAACAGCATATGACTCCATAGAAATTAG